TTGAATTCTCAAAAATATTTTGAATACATAATAAGTAATGGATTTTTAAAATTTCTTATAATTATTATTATTATTTTTTTAAAAATAAGTTGGCATACCTAAATTTCTAATACTAGTGAGCTAACATTTCCCTCTTAATAGTGGGCTTGAGTTTGTTTGTCGGCCCATTTTCATTGTCGGCCTTGGGGAGCCCAAAGCTAGGACCCACGTGGATTTTCCCTTTTTATTTTTTACTATAACCATCGTATTAAATTGGTGTATAATTAAATATTAAATATATAGCTTTTGGTTTTTTTGTTTGAAGATTAAATAATTATTGACATTTTAAATATATTACTATAAAATTGCATATATATATATATATATATATATATATATATATATATATAACAGATTCAAATATATCAGCAATGTTTTTAAAATCTGATTTTGAAATTAAATATGTATTTTCTAGTGACGTTTTGGAAAGCAACATTCTTTCTTTTCTCTTCTTTTTGACACAAACAAATATTCTTTTAATTATTGCATGCCAGCACATGATATAATGATATACTATACCATACATATACTATTTAAATAAATTAAATTACAAATTTAATCCATTAAAAAATTTTAATTTAGTCTCTATAATTTTTTTAATATTTGAAATAATTCTCAAAGTTGGCTAAAATTCTCGTAACCATCCACAATTTTATTAAATTATAAAAAAAAAAACATTTATATAGTTTTAAGAACAAAATTTTAAAATTTTAAATTATAGGAACTAAATTCTAATTTGACGTTTAGAATATGATTCTTTTTTAAAAAATTGTAAAAAGAATATTAAAACCGCGATATTTATTATTTTTTGGACAATGTATATTCGAAGACCACAATTTTATTAATTTATTTTTCTTTTGAAATTAAATGAATAAAAGATAATATGATATTATCTATACTTCATTTTTTTTTATAATTAAAATATAATATAATTTTTTAAGAAAAAATTCAATTTTGGGCTCAATTTCTCTAAATCCTTCCTTTAGTGACACTCGAAAAAAATAAGATAAGAGTATATAATGAAGTGATTGATAAATAAAAAAGATTTAATAAATTCATAAAAATATGTTTTATTTTTTTAAGTATAAGATTAATTGCAGCCGTTATCTCCATTCTTACTTTAATGTATTTTCTTAATTTAATAATAAAAAAAAAATAGTATTTCTATTTCTAAATTTATTTATGGTGAAAAAAGTTTCTTAGATTTATATTTTCTTTATTATTAACTAAAACTAATTGATGTATAATTCAACTGACTGGACATATATACTCGATCAACATGTCATATATTCGAAATTCATCGGACCCAAAAACCCTTTTATCCATACAAAAGTTGATCTCGAATTGAATTTACTAAAAAAAATTCGAAAGCAGTAGAATTTAGAATATATTCAAACTCAATTTTCTAAATAATTATCTTTTTTGAAAATATCGTTAATTTTTAATTTATATTACATATTTTAACTACATCTTATTTATTTTACTTTTAATAAAATTAATATTTCAAATTCAAATTTAATTTTAAAATTAGTTTTATTTAAAATTTTAATATTAAATGAAATAAATAAAATCAATAAAATGGCAGTGGGCCGCAGTCCAAGCTTTAAAAAAGTATAACTCAGAATTTATCACAGTTTTCAAATCTGATAATTTAAAACAAAATTCAAAAAGTGCCATAATTAAGAATATATGCAATCACATAAATAGTAAAATATTAATTTATAAAATAAATATAAAATCCAAATTTTTATTTTTTTTTATTTTTTTTTTTAAAAAAGCAATAGCATATGATTCGAATTAAGAAGAAAAAAATGTCATAAAAAACAAAAGCGATAAGATAGAATCGAAAAGAATATGAATTAAATATCAAATCGTCATTCTTACTAAGTTTGACTAAAAAAAGAGAATTTTAATTTAAACTCAAACTCTTTACGAAATTTGAATTTTGGGTTATTTTAATTTTTTCTGCTCCCAAAATTAATCATACGATATTTGTTATTATTATTTTTTTAATGTATATTTTTCGAAATCTAAATTATATATGTTTGTGACAGCTTGAAGTATATAAATGAACTAAGATCACACTCAAATGAAGTGATTTTAATCATATGATAGTTACGAAATACTTAAAAAAGCTGATAATTACTGTCTCTCGGCTAATGAAGAACACTTTCATTTTGGGACCACATTAGGTGGAGACGAGGACGAAACATTGTGTGAAAACCTCTTCCTAGTAAACGTGTTTTAATACTGTGAGGCTGACAATGATGTCTAATGGACCAAAATGAACAATCTATGTTAGTGGTATGATTGAGCTTATAAGGATGTGGAAACCTCTTAGGGCCAAAACGGACAATCTATGTTAGTGGTGTGATTAAGCTTATAAGGGTGTAGAAACCTCTCTCTAGTAAACGTGTTTTAAAACTGTGAGGCTGATAATGATACCTAACGGACCAAAACGCGCAATCTATGTTAGTGGTGTGATTAAGCTTATAAGGATGTGAAAACCTCTTTTTAGTAGACGTGTTTTAAAATTGTGAGACTGACAATAATACCTAACAGGCCAAAACGGACCATCTATATTAGCGATATGATTAAGTTGTTACATTATATAATATATTTGGGAAGGAAATAAATTATTTTATAAAAATGTAATCATTGTTATATTTATTTTTGTTATTATTGTGAAAACTCTCCAAAGATAATAATTTTAAGACATAATTAGATAAAATATTTAATTAATAGTTATAACGAACTAATCCCGAACCAATCCACCAAATGTGTTATTTAAAAAAAAATCAAAGAATAATTTTGAAAAAAATGGAAAATTGACAGCGAAATCGTTATCGAACATAACTTTAGCCGTCCCAAAAATCTTGTAAGATCATTTTAATATTCCGCTCGTTAAAAGAGGTAAAGATGCCTTAACTATTTATTCATTACGTTAAGATTAATATCAGATGAATTTAAACTGTATACTTCGAAAGCAGTAAGAATTAGATCGAGTTTTTCTTTCTCTAGAATTTTTCTTTTCGAGACAAAAATTCTCTCAATAAAGTTCGAAGATATGTTTAAATATAAAATAATTTGGAATCAAAATTCTAAACCAACAAAACAAATAATTTTTTTTTTAAATAATTTTGTGTGGGGAAAAGAGATAATAATATTATGTCAAAGAATCATATTTGTCACATAATTAAGATTAAGATTAATATTTACTAAACTCTATTATTTCTAATCATATTTTATATTTCCTTAATATTCGTGGTTTATTCTTGACCATTAAAAATTATATTTGTCACCAATTTTTTACTAGCGTAAATAGTAACAATAATTTTTACTTTTGTAGGAGCATTTTCCTACTTGGTTTATGAGAATGGTTTTCGCTTTTAGAAGCACTTCAAGACAAGGAGGTAATATGTTTATGTCTGAATCTCGGGCGTTCTCAAGTTAACAAGTGTTAATTTATGAAACCGAATAATTATTTTTAAAATTTAACATGTGAGAATTGAGGATTCAAAACCTCTACCCTTTTAGTCAAAACTCTAGATTCTAATCAATTAAACTATACTCAAGTTGATAACATATCTGTAGGTGTGAGTAGAAGATTGAATGTAATAACCCAAGCTCATTGCAAGCAGATATTGTCTTCTTTGGGCTTTCCCTTTCGAGTTTCCCTTTAAAGTTTTCAAAACGTGTCTTGTAGGAAGAGGTTTCCACACCTTAATAAAGAATGTTTCGTTCTCCTCTCTGATCAATGTGGGATCTCACAATCCACCTTCTCTTTGGGACCAGCATCCTCGTTGGCACTCGTTCCCTCTCTTCATTTGATGTGGGATCTCACAGTCCACTCCCTTTCGGAGCCCAAAGTCTTTGCTGTCACTCGTTCTTATCTCTAATAAATGTGAGACCTCATACTGATCCACTGTTTGAGAATGAATACGTGTCATAACCTCTCTCTCTATATATATATTATAGTTAGGTTGGGTCACGTGCAAATATTATCCATACATTATGTTTTTGAAACTATAATTAAATTCGTGCATTTTAGAAAGTTATTCGTTTTCACCGATGGAATTAACTTTTTTTACAGAAAAGTTGACAACACAAAAGTAGTGTATAATATAATAAGGGACCATACATTTTGAAATCCCTTTTTTAATTTCTTAACTTCTACGCCACCACTGTATAAAAAGATAACCACTGTGGTAATTTTATTTATACTATTTTTTAATTAAAAAAAAAAAAAAAAAAAAAAAGAAGAGAAAAAGACATGGGAAAGAATCTTAAATAGTAAATTACAATTTTGTCCCTAACCTTTTAAATTTTTGTTATTCAAATAAAATTTTTAAAAATTATTTATTTAACAAACATTTTTAAAACTCGACTGGATAGTGAACTAAAACGATGTAATTGTGATTAAAATACTTGTCTGGATTAAGTTCAAATGAACGTCATTTACGTCACATTGATTTTTATCCCGACACTCTAACAAATTTTCTCGTGTGTAATAAAATATGCAAATAAAAAACTAAATTTAAATTTTATTTTATTTCAATTCAATTATTATCGTAAAAATTATTATGAATTTATCGTAATATAAACGAAATTATTTAACCCAATAATCAAGTGATGAAGCCTTCTCTTTGTCATTCAAAAACATAATTGAGCAAAAAAGTAATTTCATTTTCAAAAGCGCGTGGGACCCAAACGCAACGAAGTCAACCATTCCACTCCAGCTTCAAAGTCAACATAACCACAAAACAATTTTGTTTTTTTTTTTTTTTTTTTTTTTTTTTAATTAAAAAAAAAAGTTTGTGCTGTTTAATGCTGGACTCAGAAAAGAAGTCCAAAACCGACTTCCAGAAGAATGGGACCCAGGCCCTTATTTGCAAATTTAACTTTTTCCCCTCTAATTTCTTTTTTTTTTGTTTTTGCCCCTTTATATATAAGTTTTCTCTCTATAACCCCTCAATTTCTGCAGAATCCTTCTTCTTCTTCTTTTTTTTAATTATGGATATTTTCTTGGACCTTAACCTTAATCCTTCTTCTTCTTATCCTAATTCCGCCATGGATGAAGCTCTTCATTCTTCTGTAAGTTCCATTCATTTTCTTCCTTTTTTTCCTTCATAATTTCTCTATAAAAAATAAGCTTTATTTGAAGAAATTTGCCCTTTTTTTTTTTCCATTTTTGAAGCAGAAAAGAGAGGTTGAAGCTGCAGAAACGAACTTGGATCAGGAAAAACTCACACTCAGCTTGGCAAATAAGGTGAACCCAATGAGTTTCTTTTCGATACGAACCGATTTGAATCCTTTTCGAGCCTAAATTGACCTGTTTTCAGATAGTAAACGAAGAATTTGGCTCGGGTTGATGGGATTTTTTTTGGGTTTTTCGGGGTTTTCAATAGTAATTTGAAGTAAGAAACATTGGGTTCGAACCAAAAAAATAGTCAAGGATTCAAATCGTCACGTACCTTTTACTTTTCGCACCGTATTGGGGTTAACCCTAATCAAAATTACGGGGTTTTCAATAGTAATTTGAAGTAAGAAACATCGGGTTTGAACCAAAAAAATAGTCGAGGATTCAAATCATCCCGTACCTTTTACTTTTTGCACCGTGTCGGGGTTTACCCTAATGGAAATTACGTGGTTTGTTATCGAGCAGGGAAGCGATTTTCGGGCGACATTGGAAGAAAAATTGGATAGAAAAATCAAAGAGAATGGGAGGTTAAGTCAGATGTTAAGAGCAATGTATGAGAAATATATGAATCTTCAAAAACAAGTGATGTATTTGGTGAACCAACAAAAGGTGCAGAGCTCAGAAATAGAAGCCGTTTCTAGGAAGAGAAGGGCTGAAGGAGAAGAAGAGTATGAGAATTTGGAAGGGATTTGCAGCTCAAGAGATGAAGACTTCAACAGGTGGCTCAAGAGGCCAAGGCTCAATGGAAACTCAAAGGTTTCTAAGGTTTTTGTGCAAAAAGATGCATCAGATCCAAGCTTGGTATGATATGTTTCTAACCCTATTTGGTTTGCATGATTCGACCAAACCCTAGCTACACGTTCTCGGAGATTACTAATTAGGGTTTTGGTTTTGGTTCGATTTTGTTTTCAACTTTACCGATTAGGGTTGTGGTCTGGGTTCAGGTTCAATAATGATTTTGTTCTCAACTTAACTGATTAGGGTTGTGGTTTGGGTTCAGGTTCGACAACGATTTTGTCTTAGACTTTGCTAATTAGGGTTTTGATTACGATTCTGGGTCAATAGCGATTTTTTTTTCAACTTTACTAATCAGGGTTTTGGTTCGAGTTCAGGTTCGATAACGCTTTTGTTTTAGACTTTGCTAATTAGGGTTTTGATTATGATTCTGGGTTGATAACGATTTTGTTTTCAACTTTACTAATTAGGGTTGTGACTCGGGTTTAGGTTCGAGGACAATTTTGTTTTTGACTTTACTAATTAGGGTTTTAGTACTAATTTTGGTTCGATAATGATTTTACTAACTAGGGTTACGATCTTGGTTCAATAACGATTTTCTTTTAAACTTTACTAATTAGGGTTTATTAGATTATCAATTTGGAACCCTTTTGATTGATTCATTTATTCATTCATTAATTAAAGAGATTAAGAAATTTAATTAAGGATTTGATTGAGAAACCCTAAATGATATGATGATATTGATGAAAAAGGTGGTGAAAGATGGGTATCAATGGAGGAAATATGGCCAAAAAGTCACTAGAGACAACCCTTCTCCAAGAGCTTATTTCAAGTGCTCCTCTGCCCCAAATTGTCCTGTCAAAAAGAAGGTAACCCTCCAAATCTTTGCCCTAAAATTGCAAAAGGACCCAACAAAACGACACAATAAAACACTAAACATTCCGATTTTCCTGTGTTTAGGTGCAAAGAAGTTTGGAAGATCCAACAATTTTGGTGGCTACTTATGAAGGAGAACACAGCCATGCTAGCCATTTTCAAACTGAGCTATCTTTAAGGTCCATCAATGGCGGCAAAGCCAGTGCCGTCCCGGTCTTAGCCACCATCAAACCATCGTGCGCCTCCGTGACCCTTGACTTGATTCACGAAGACGGGTTGTTCAAGAGTCCAAAAGATTACGCAGCGTCGGAGTCAGCAGCCTCAACGGAGGCAGCGGTTTGGCAAGAGTTTTTGGTACAACAAATGGCTTCCTCGTTGAAAAAGGATCCTGAATTTGCAGGTATCGTTGCAGGTGCCATTTCAGGGAAGGTTTTAGGAAACCAAACAAATCGAGAATAAACCCTAATCCCGAAACCCTAAATCGTGCTCTAAATTTGCTTTGTTTTTGGTACAATCTTAGCCTTTTGTGAATATGTGTTTGTTTGGATGAAACAAATTGGTTTGATCTTGGAATTATGGTTCAATTGGCAAAGATTTTAGAGACAATTTCAATCAATAAACATCAATTAGGTTAAAATGCTTCATGAATCTTCCATTGTTCTTATGTATTTTGTTGCTTTATTGCTTGATTAATACAAATTTGTTGCTATATTTAACAAATAAGTAAATATATTAATCTCTCAAATGTTCTTCTATTCAATCATGATTCAAAATAAAGTATATAAAAGTGGTATAAATTCTTACTTATTTTCTACCTTGTTTCAAATATTCAAAATGGAATAAAACCATAGTCAATAAATGCATATAGAATTAGGGTAAAACTTTAGGGTATTACTTTATAGTAAAAAGCGCTTTTTCGGTTAGCATTTTAAAAAGGAACGTTTTCTAAGAACTTTAAATTTTCAAGTTTTCACGAGCGTTTTTATAATTTCAAAACCCCTTTTTGATAGTCTAACCAAAAATTACGAAAATATTGAAAAGTGTTAGGAATGAGTGGAAAAGTTCGTCCTAAATTCATTCTATTTCATGAAATAATAGAGATACTAACTAGTTCTCGGTGTCGAGATGTACATGAAATACTTAATCTCTTCCTTTTTCGAGCTCGGGATATGAGAAGAACGAGCCGACGTCATGACGGTTTAAGAAATTTAAGTGGAAATTTCAAATTTCAAAACCTCAATATAATTCAAAGCCTTCACATAAAGTATACTTAACATTTCTCCAAAAAAATATTCAAAGAAAATGACTGAAAAAGAACCATTGAATAATATATGGGTTTTTTTCTTCATCTCCAAATTTCCATCAATAAAATAGAATTTAATTAGATCCTTATAGTTTTTAGAAATTTCAATTTAATCCCAATAATTTTATATAATATCACTAATCGTGTGTGTATATATATATATATATATATATATTTCGAGTTCAACAATATATAAAATAAACGAATTATTGGATTCAAACATCTAACCTCTTGATCGAATGTATGAGCTTAGACCAATTAAGTTGTGTTCAAACCTAAATTCTTTCAATTAAATTTTTCTAATACGAAGAGAATAAATGAATGTGTTACCAAAAAGTAATAAGACAGAGTGGAGCAAATGAGAACCGCAAAAGTTGACTGAAAAGAGAGACCTAAAGATACACTTACTCCTTAACTAGTGCGTGAAAAGGAGTTGGAAGTTTGGTAGTTTGTGAGTTCATCAATAATTGTTTGAATTCCGATTCCATTGACTTCAAATTTCTTCTCTCTTTGTTCTTTTCCCATGCTGTTCTAACACCCTTAAGCCCACCAAGTTCCCGCCCTCTCTCGACCCTTTCCTATCGCACATTCATATTATAAAAGCTTTTATAATGGGAACATAAGAAGAAAAGATTAGATTTATCCCGATGAAAGTAGGAGTAATAATAGTGTTTATAATACTACTACTACAATGGCTACTACAATGGCTATGTATAAGTGAAAACTCGAGAAATTTTATCTCGAGTGAAATTTGCCCGTGATGATCGTCGTTTTCATAATGATAATACAATGATTATATACATTGCCTACTACCAGATAACATAACAATTAAGAGATTTATAAAGGAAAGAATATGTTATATTATGTAAAACAATGAACAAGCTACTATTACAAATATTTTACACCAAATTCTGATCTAACCAAGTCCCATTTGAGGGCTTCCTCAAACAAGACTTCCTTAAACTTCACCAATCTACCATCCTACCCAGTTACTTAGTTACACAAACATGACAGCAACAATGGCTGATGAGTTCAACACCCCTAAGTTTTTTTTTTTTGTTAAGAAATAATACAATTTGGTAGAAGACTTTGATTTCGTCCGAACACAGGCTACTTATTCTACATCCTGTGCGTCTGAAACGTTCTTCTATCCAAAGATAGCAGCAATGACGATGGCATTCTTCAATCATGTGTGATGGGTTATGTGGGTTACTACTTTGGTCACATTGTATGGAGAATAAATTAGTATGTTGCAGAAATGTTTGTTAGAAATGCTCGGGATCGTTTGATGTCACTACGTTAGGTTGGAGTCTTCATCAAGATTCCTGACTCGTTTTTCGGGTTACCAATCTTCAACTTCTCCTTTTCTGCTGCTTCCTTCTGTGCTTTCTTCTTTTCGTAATCAAGCTGCTTACAGTTTTCTTCATGTGCTCGCACAAACATCCGCATGAAATTGAGCAGCGTATTAACAACTGATCATAAACAAACGCCTTGGATTTCAGTACCAAAATATATGTGCATTTTAGAAGTAATATTCATTTTAACTCTAAGTTGTTCAATAATATTAATGGTGCATTTTGATCCAATGCTCCTGATTAGTAAGAAGCTCTATCAGTCGATGAACATACCTTGCTCGAAAGGGCAACGTGCTGGATCCTCGCCGAAATAAAGAGCAAGCGCATCAGCATTTCTACCCTGAAAATACCCACAGTTCAGAGAAATTCTAATGCTGCTTTCATGATGTATAACGAAATCAAAGCAAAGAGCATCATATGTACCACATTAGAATAAAGAGACGCGAGAGACCTCACTTCGGCCTCGGCATGAGAAAGGAAGTCTTTTAAAGTCTGAATATATATCGAAGTAAACGATGAGATCAGAAACAGCTAAAAATTGGAAGAAACCACATCTTTACAAGAGGAGAAGCAACAAAAACTCATAATTTGAAGCCATTCTTAGACAAGGAAATAAATGAGTGAAAGCCAAAAAAAATGACGACCCAACCGATTAATAATACTGGAACTCAACATCGATCACAGACTAATATGAGTTTAGAACTTAACAAAAATATGCCTTAAAGCAAACTACTTTAGAACTTTACAAAAATAAAGCTATCCTTGATTAACTGTTATACAGTACCCGGCAAAAAGTTTCTGAAACGGACCCATCGTTTTCTGAATTAGACAATTCCTGAACAACCTTCTCAAGCCCTTTGCTTATGGCTTGCATTTCCTCTGCCAAATATTTCAGTTGTATCTGTATGATAACCAAACGATTAGCCTTGCCAACAAAACAACACTGGAAAGAAAGAAAGAAATGAAGTAACAATACCTTCGTAGAAATTTCCAAATGCACAAGGTCCTTTGGAAATTCTATAAGTTCTGGTAGCTTTTCAGCGATCACCTGAGGTAGATATCTCACAAATTAATATATACATGAATAAAAATTGCCGAAGAAAAAATTACTCAAAAATGGCTTTAACAGAATGAAAATTTCAATTTTATCTTCCCTCCGCCTTTTCTTTTCCATTTTCTTCCAAGGCATGCAACAAAGAGAAAAAAGGGTAACAGCATTCTACAATTTCTAATTATTGGCTCATCAATTTCCCCACCGGATATATGAGTTGAAAGATCAACGATCCAGCATATAAAATTTTCTTCCAATCGAAAAATAAACTAGATCTCAGCGGACGCCATATTTTTATAAAATGGCAGGTCACGGTAAAACTATAAGATACCCATTTCTTCAATTCAATAAGTCCACTCCACCAGCCATCCAGAACTTTTTTCGAGGGCGGGTTAAATGCTACCTTATAAAGATACGATAGTTAGATAATGATTCATCTTTGTTGCTAGATCAGAAGTTGCACATTAACTTGGAGGTAATCTGTTCTTCATTAGAAAATGCATTATGGTTCATGCTCAGAGAAGGGTTTGTTCAATATATTTTTTACTATTTACTCATATGTTGAAACTACCTTATTCTGCAGAATCAACGAAAAGAAAGTCGTGTATGCACATTACACAAATAGCATTGACATGAAATTATAGCAAATCATTTGTACTTAATGCCGGTGGGAGGGGAGTTACTAGAAAACTGGATACTATGAGTGCAAGCCTGTAAAATTATTTGACAAGCAAAATGAATAATGTATTGAACAGAACAGGAGAAGTCTACCTTACATAGATAATGCATGAGAGTCATCTTATTGTTTCTGGCTCGCGTATCAGTGAGTTTGAGGAGACTATCAAGCCGAAATCCAATAGCAGAACCTACATGAACAATGGCAAGAACTCATAAGAGCAGAACACTTGAAGTCTTGGTGATACCATTCAAAAAAATTTATGATAAAGCAGAAACTAAAGGCATGTTACAGCATAAATAAAAATATTGACAGCGTACACAATTAAAAAGGATAAAAGAGGCAGAACTAGTAAACACTTGCGCTTCATAAAAGTATATTTTAAGATTTAAAAGAGGTTGAAATTTAAAAATATTCATTACGACAATAACATATTCGTTTGAACTCAAAAATAAATACATAAACACGTGGTTTTCATTTTGTCGTCACAAATGGTGTTTTTTTAACTCTTATACTCAATTCTTAAGTTGGCATGACATTTAAATCAACGTTTGCTATGAATCTAAGTAATACTTATTGTAATAAATATTAACCTTCACTTTGGAAATGAGGCATTTATTATTAAGAGATTAACCCGGGAGTGAGGGCAAAAAAAAAAATTAGTTCTCCACTGTCCATACTTAAGATAACAAAAATTGTGATGCTATTTGCAAGGGAAAATATTATCTCACCTCTAGCCGTTCCGTGGTTCAAAGCATTACCCAACGAAAGAATAGTTTGCATTACCCTTTTCAACTTTATCGAATTTCTGATCTGACTAGCACATAGAGAAAGGGTTTAAAATGTGAAAAATGTCCAAACGACGTACCTAAATTAAGGAAATTTAAAAAGAATATCACTTGCCTCTTCAGATACCGAATTGACAGTATTCAGACTATATCTAAGGTCAGAGACCTAGAAAGTGAAAATAGTGAAATTGGTGACAAATAATATAAAAAGGAAAAAAAAAGGAAAAAGGAACGGAATAATTAAATAGGCTGTCCCCTCACCTGCAACCCGAATTGTATCTTGAAAGAAAAAACTCTTAGCTTGGCCTCAACTCGTGGGACCTTCATTAATTCTAAGAAGAACTATTGAGGAAAAAGACAGAAGCAGGTTAATTTTTTTGTAAGAAACATATTCCCAACAAAAAATTTAAGAAAGAAGTAAAGGAAGAAAAAAACTTAAAGGGGGGAGAGAGAGAGAGAGAGAGTAAAGTATTAACACACTTGTTCACATTTTCCCAAGTTGTCCTTGTCCCCAGTGTACCCCTGAACGTAAAAGAAAAAATGTCAATGTTAGAAAAGGGGCAAGGAAAATTTTCAACAAAATTATGGAAGAGATCAAGCAGACCACAAAAATTAGTGCAAACTAAATGATATAGAATATGATTCAGACCACTGAATGTAAGTTGCACAGTAGGAAATAAGTACCTTAAGTAATTCCATTTCTTCTTTTGTTGGACAAAACTTTATTAGGTTCTCAACCTGATCCACATCTAACGCCATGTCATCCAATGCAAGGACTGAACACTGACAATGATAATACCAAAACAAATTATCAGGAACTATGTAATGTGTATGATTTCCACGTCTCAATTATGTTTAGTATCTCATTCATAGATTGTTCTAAACCCTCTCTTTCACTCCAAGAAAGAAGCAAATTAATAGCTTACCATCATATCAGGCAAAGGAATCTTAACTTTAGAGAGCATAATTTCACAATTATAGGCCCGTCGAAGTTCAATCTGCCAGAACAAGTAGTTACATGAAATATAAATTGCCTTCAGTGGAAGTATATAACAATGTATCAAGGTCACAGTGTGTTAGCCACAATTTTTATATTTTAACACAATTGAAAGGCAGTCAATATTCGATAAGAAACTAATTAATCAAAACTCGGGATCTAAAAGGTAGTTCCAAGGCTAAAAATTATAAGTTCAATTGTTCCATATTGCAACAAATAAACTAACTTAAAATTGTTCCGTACCAATGAAATATTCAATGACATGTAGATTAACTATTTCAGAATAAACTTAAGAGTAAACCTACAGAGTTCAGCTGACAACACAAATCTTTTGCTATAATTGCACGGCTTCTAGTCCACATAGAAAAGGATGTATGAGATGCACCCGTCAATACCGAAATGAAGGATGGTTCACAACTTCAGAAATTGAGAAAAATCATTTTTTGCACTAACAGAATCCAATAAATGGGATTGAACTTCTTCTACAGCTAAAATTATGTCAAAAGTGGCTTGAATGTTCTGTAAAGAAACAAATGTGATAGTAAGTTAATCTCCTTGATTACCAGCTGAACTTTTTCTGGTTTTGGCCCTGAGGCTCGGCGATTTGAATTTCTACCAGAACCTCCAGACTCCGAATTTGGTGCAGCTGCAGAGAAAAGACTTTCAAGTTCGGACATGTCAAACTCCGGAGCTCTATCACAAATAAGTTAACTAAATTAACATAAGGAAACTTGTAACATATGAGAGAACAAAAATATATGGCACGTACTTGGAAGCTTCATCGTTCTTTGGTGACTCAGCCCATAAGCTTCCTTGCATGGCCCTCGTTAATTTTAACCAGTGGTAAGGCTTCAAATTGCACCTTTTAGGTTGAGACACGTTTTTGGAGTTCAAACGTCCAAGGCCTCGTCCCTTTGCAAGTAAAGCACTGGAAGGTGGTCCAGGAATAGAAGGTATGTTGCCATTATTAGTGCCAGCGTGAGACTGTGAGGAAGGAGGGGGTGCAGGTGGAGCAGGTCCCGTCGTTGAAAAACCTGAAGGAGGTGGGGCAGGTGGAGCTGACGTTACAACACCTGGACTTGAGGTGGATCCTGAATTGGCAGAAGGTGGAGGAGGAGGAGGAGGGGGGCCAGAGACATGCGTTGTTGCAGAAACATTTGGTGCACGACTAGGCAGAAGAGGAGGAGGAGGAGGAGGCGGTGCTAAAGATACATTACTAGGATCTGGGGAAGATCTAGGAGAGGGAGGAGATGGGGGAGGTGGAGGGCCAGGTACAACCTTCAAGTTCCTGACTACCGTGGTAGAACCCTGTGGTGCAGGACTAGGAGGAGGTGGTGGCGACGGTGGCCCTAAAGACATGGTACTAGAACCACAAGTCGATGAACTCAAAGATGGGGGCAAGGGTGGGGCCAGAGGTGGAGGTGGCGGTGGGGGCACCGATGTTGGCAAGACAACACTAGCGCCCAAGTTGGGGCTAGAGCATGGAGGAGGAGGATGAGGAGATAGTGGAGGGGGAGGGACAATTGACAAATTCTTTTTAGGCAACTGAGAAGAAACTAAACGATCATTAGACGAAGAAGATTGAAGAACAACTGGAATTGATGTCATTGTCGAGGACAATAGTATTGTTGTAGAAGAAGGTTGTGGTGGAGATGGGGAAAATGAACCATTCATCCTGCCAAAAGATGGAGATGTTACTAAAAACGAAGATGAATCAAGATGAGAGATGGGAGGAGAGGGAGGAGTGGGAAGACAAAATGATTGCTTGGCACAAGAACATGGACATGATCTTAATAAAGAAGAAGAGGATATCGAAGGTAAACTCTCATTGAATGAAGGTGTGGACTTCCTAAGAAAAGAGCTAGGCGTTGGTTGTAATGAAGATGGTAATAATTGACTTCTCCCTAGTGACGTGGTTTGAGACGGTTGAGAAATTGAAGGTTTAATAGGTTTCAAAGAAAGTTGGCGGAGTACAAATGGATCAGAAATGGTTGAAGTTGATGTGGTGGTAGAAGGTCTTTCTAATGTAGAACTTGGCTCCAGTGCCAGCGGGGGAGGCAAAATAGGATGCTTGCCGGGTTGAATATATTTATATGAATCTAGAGCACTTGGAGTCAAGCGATAAGATGATGGTGAAGATATTGTCGCTGGATGTATGACTTCCTTACCACTAAATTTGGAATGATCGTGGAATAATGCTGTATTGCCCGGAGCAGAAGGTGCACTCGGATATCTTAATTTTGGGGAAGGTGAACCTTGCACAGAACTAGGAAAGGAGACTGGTGTAGACATGGAAGGTTGAGGTATTCTTTGGGTAACGATTTTAGTCTGAGGTGGTAGTTCGAGAGCAACCTGCAATTCTGGGGTTTCAATCTTCGATCTCACTGATCTTTCAGTGCGATATAGTTCAGAAGACGGCTCGGATTGATTTTTTTGTATCTTCAATTGGGGACTTCTAATATTGTCTTCAGATGTCTCTGATTCCGATATTAGTTTTTCTAAAGATAAGTCAAGCAACTGGTTTCTGTCTAAAGAGTTGAAACTAATAAGTTTCTCTTGAAGAAAATTTGAAGCTGTCATTTTCTGAAGCGCAGTAAGAGCTGCTTCTGCCTTGGGGCTTAGCCATTCCACATTGCTAAAGATCTCTTGAACTCTAGCAAATGCTTCAATTGGAAGACCATCTTTCTCCTCAATATTCGGCAATTCAATTGAAATACGCGATGCGTTAGCATCCATCTCTGAGAAAAGAACCTTCATCCAAACATAACTTCTTTAGTCTTGAGAAGATGAACACAAGAAAGAGGTAATAATAATAGAAGAAAGAAGAAAGGGATGAGGGGGATGAAACAAAAATAGTAATTGAACATACCTCTGCTCTGAAATCCTTTGGAAATTGATCCTTTGCATGCCATAAGATATCGATGTCATCCCGGTTAAGCATCAAAATATTTGACCTTATAAATGCCGTATTAAACATAACTCGAAACACCATCTCCTCCCTTTCCAGATCATTGTCCAAACTTATACATTCAAAAACAACATCACCTTGGATATGGCAATGGATATCAATTTTAACTAGCTCACAATCAACCTGTAACAAAATTTGAAAGAATTACAAAAACAAAAATCCTGTAGGCTTCCCACCACAAACAAAGCCAGGAAAGTATATCCTTGCGAACTAAAATACAAATTTGTCCTTTTTTTTACCATTTAAGGTTTATAATTGGCACTTCGATGAAAGACTTGTTATATGATCCCAGCCACATTAAAACTATAAGACATTACACACACACAGAAACAGAGCAGGACAAAAAAACAGAATCTCGTTGCTCAAAACTACAATCACCCTTCGTTTTGAACAACAAAAGACGATTAATCAAGTACGACAACAGGTTTTCCAACAAGCCTTACAAGGAGCTCTAGGAACTCTGAATAGTAGTTTTGTATGGATGAACACACAACCTGGGACTAAAGAGAAACACATTTAAAAAAAAATAGTTACCAGTAAGCAGATATTTGTAAATCTTGAAAACAGTCGATACACGGAGAAAGCAATTCCCAAAAGAAATAAAAACTTTTAATAAGTTTTTTTTTTTTTTTTTATGAGAAACTAAAGCTACAAATAAGTCAGGTCAAGGGGTGGCACTCTTCTTTGGGCCGAGCTTTCTTAAAATAAAGCTCTCTAGGTCATCAAGCATTTCTGTAATGTAACAACGATTCTCTTCTCTTGGCCATGGATTAGTGCGTTCGACTTCACAAGTAATCCAACATACCACATGGAAATAATAAAAAAGGAGAGAAGGGTCTCGCCGTGACTTCTATAATTTTTGTAATAAATATAGACAAGAAATAAGGGGGCCATGTACGCTCAACCCTCTATTTAAAAGGGGAAAAAGTAGTCACCTGCTTATACTGGCGAACAAGTTTACTCCTTTTGGGTGTTGAGAACAATACTTTGGAGGTTCGATCACCAGCCATAAAGGGGTCCTGTCCATATATCCTAAATATTGGGCGGCAACCACCTTCACCATCCATATTAGGAATAAGTCTAATAATTATGCAGTCTAGAGTAAGCGCCCTGTCAAGCGGAGGCCATTCTGATCCCACATTTCTCCTTGATACATATTGAAGATACCTCAATTGCGAAGGCAATGGATTAAGAGGTGACATCAACTGCAAAAGCTCCCGAGGTGCTTGCTTGTAGATCATGTCCAAAATTTTCTGCTCCCCAGCATATTGCTTCCTATAAATCAAAAGAGCAGCCAACATGAAAGCCAAGACCGGCCATCCCCCTCGTTCACAGTGCATCAAAAGTACATTTTGTTGCATAAGTGAGAGCCAGTTTTCACAGGATCTTAAGAAGTGGTGGATCATCTCCATGGTGAGAAGAGGGCAACCTTCATAGTGTCGAGGATAGTCCATGACAGTCATATCATACATAGATAATATATTAGTGATGAGGCTTTGACTCTCCCCCTCTCGGAAATTGAACACCATGAATGAAGCATCGGTGAGACTTTCACGAAGTTGTCCCACGATACCTCCAATATAGACTTTGTATTCGTCTTCTTCCAAAACCTCCGTTGTAAAGCAGCAGTCGAAAACTGCACATACATTCACAGGTTTATCCAACGTCCCAATCATCTATAATCAAGCAAGACTACACATCCCTCCACAAGTTTCAAGGCAAAAGATTTAGAACTCCGAAAATTCATTCAATGCTCATAATTTTTTTGGGAGTTAAGGCCTGAATTTGCAGTATCTTTAAGACGAGAAAAAGTGGAACATAAACAATCCCAGGGAAGAAGAAGGCAGACACAATAAACAAAAAATCAATACATGAGAATAACTGTAACTTAAAAGGAAGGAGAAGGATAATTTGTGGACTAACCCCAAAGGGAACAATAGAATCCACTACAGGGAGCTCTGAGAAATCATAGCAAAGGGGTTGCATCTTATAACTTGAAATAGCTACTTTCAAATGGGGACGGCACAATGATTATAAAAGGCCCACAAATACAACAGCTATAGTGACTTTTAGTAACAAAATTTCATGTAAAATACCATAATGTCACTAATGATTCAGTTTAGGCAACAACGAAAACGATTACCAGAGCTAATAACCCCTTCACTACGCAGAATATGCTGTGAAATTAACGATAAAGAACGATTATGAATAATTCTGGTAAACCAAAGTCGTAGAACAGTTAACCAAAGTCGGACATACCATAAACCCTTTCGGATATCTCTAAAAGCCCGTCCGGTGGCTTCCGATAAAAGAATTTGCGAAATAAGGCCATTGTGATATTCGGCTCGAGATCCAAATAAGCATAAAACGAAGCTCCTAGAAATCAAATCCCCAATTGGAATCCGCATTACGAAGACATATTGCATCTAATTTTCAGCCTCACCGATCACCAAATTCCCTCGCAAAAGGAATAATTGCAGAAACGCCATGATTGTGTTGTATTGCAGAGTGTAAATTCCGTAAACAAAATGGAAATGGATTTTTGATTGACCTTGAAGGCAACACTTTCCCTCTCGGTGCGGCCGTCGTTGCCGTCACGTTCACACTTGACGTCTCATGGTGAAAAGAAAAAGAAGATTGACTTAACTTTCAATCAATTCAAGCTCCCATGTCCCCGCCCGAAGAAATTGAGAGAGAAATAGAGCGGAAACAAAAATTGAAATGTAGTTTAGGGTTTAGAGAAAGAATGTGGTGGAATATTCCAACAAAAAAATTTGTTAGCGAGATAAAGAAGAATTCACAAGAAAAATACTGTAAACAATGAAGAATTGGATATGGCGGTCGTTAATGGAGGATCTCAGGTTTGTCGTATCTTCTCTTTGGCGCTCTCTGTAATTTTTTTTTTTTTTAATTTTTGTTCTTTGCGTAAAAAATTAAAACAAAATGATTTGGTTAGACGAGATCTGTACTCGTGTTGCTTTTCGCACGTGCGTTCCCCATGCACATTAAATTATATGCAATATTAAATAAAATATATTTTACTGATTTAATTATAATATTTATTAAAAACTGAAACATTCGATATTATTATTATTTGTTTTTTTCCAATTTAAACTTTTGAAGATTAAATGTATATTTTTGTATTGTAATATTTATGTCGTTTCTTAGTTTGTCTTTAATATTCAATTTCAAATATGTTAATTCAATATTTTTATTATAAGTTTAGACATTAGATATTAATTTACAAAATAAATTCTCACGCTAAATATATGACGTTTTGAATCCACTCGAGATTTTGAGTTGATTAAGTTGGTGAACCGAGCAACCCAAATTGAAAATTTGGTTGAATTGTAACCCTATTTTCAAGTTGATCAGACCAAAAGAATATCAACTTTGGTGATCTTCCTCCTCGTCTACGATGTCGATCAAGAAAAATGGCAGTAAAATTTAACTATTTATTTCATGATATTGTCCTTTTTATCGAGAGTGACTAAAAAACTGACCATAACATTTGACCCACTTCTCCAATAATATTTTTATTATTATTTTCCCAGTTACAATCTATACTGAAAAGGAAGATCATCGAAATATGGAAAGCTTCTTTTTTTTTCTTAGAGACTTTGTATACGAGACTACTAGTTGTTGCTCGATCGAGGCTCGAATTTTATTGCGAACCGAAAACCTTAGCCTCATAGAATCATTAAAGTCAAGAGAGAAGCTTTTAAAGCTGCTACGATCTAGATTCTCACTTACGTTGACCTGAAGACTCTGTTACACTACTTGTCCCATCAACCAGTCAACAACATCTATAGAAATTCATCGAGCTGTGTGTTTTGGAAGTTGGAGTGACAAGCACATGTTCGGAGTGAGTATTTGTTTTTATTGCATCAAATAAGAACCTGCCTAGTTCTAGTATGATCCAAAGTTTTTATTAACTCCCGAGTTAAGTTTAAAAAGTACTATTATCGTTAGTTTTGGATACAACCGGTTAATATTTTATTTTTAAAAAATATCATTCAACTTTGTGAATGTTTGATTAATCCACCACACCTAAATGGTGTGAAAGTTATCTTATTTATAATCAAATGAATTACAAGGATATGAAAATAATAATAAATGGAAAGATACATATGATATAATAAGGCAAATATCATATATTTGCATTATAATAAAATATCAAATATAATATATATGGTAAACTATAATTTATTACTAAATATCCTTAACACCCCACCGCAAGCTAAGCGTCGGATTTAAACGAACGTGAAGCTTGAATCTGAAAAATTCAAAGAGGTTGAGAAACACTTTTCATGAAGATGCTAACAATCCGGTTCTTGGCCATCAAAAATTGCAGAGGGATCGCCGCTCAGCGGCGATGCTGCCTTGGCTTCGGCGAGAATATGTCTAACCCATGAAGAGGGATTGTCGCTTAGCGACGATGCTGCCTTGGCTCTGGTGAGAATATTTCTAACCCCAAGAAGTAGAAGGGGAAACCTAGAGCAAGGGACAAAGACAATGTTGAAGCCGGAAGATTCGCCACATTGGGCGAAGGAGCCAATTTTGGCGAGAATGGCAGTTTGAAGAGTTGCCTCATCGGGCGAAGAAGCCAATTTTGGCAGGAAGGGCGGCGGCAACTTGGTTGGCGAATAGGCCAGTGCGGCACCCAGATCCCAAAGGTAAATCTCTGCAAAAGGTTGATAGGTTTAAGTTAGGGTTTATGTGAAGGATGAAGATTGATTGGGAAGAAAATGAGAGAGACTATATTGGCCAAGGAGAAAACCGATTGGGTTGGAAAAGGTGAGGTTGTATGTACAAAGTATGACGAAAGGTGATTTGGAGGTCAATAGGGTGGAGCCAAAGAGTAATCAATCGGCTCCAACTATGGCAGCTATGAAGACTGCCCCTGCGGCGTCAAAACCAGCCGGGGTGGTGGAGAAGAAGATTAGAGGATTCAAAAGCCATTGAAAAGAAAGGATCGGAGTTGATAAACCGAGAGGGCTCTGATACCATGTGAATGTTTGATTAATCCACCACACCTAAATGGTTTGAAAATTATCTTATTTATAATCAAATGAATTACAAGGATATGAAAATAATAATAAATGGAAAGATACCTATGATAATTAGGCAAATATCAAATATTTGCATTATAATAAAATATCAAATATAATATATATGGTAAACTATAATTTATTACTAAATATCTTTAACAAACTTTTAAAAGCGTTTTAAAACTTAACATCGGTATATACAGAAACTATTAATACTGTATTTACAAAAATATATTTGAGCCCTAAAAAATAATATTAAACCCTAAAAAAATAATTACACGGAAAATTCAATAATAATTTTAAAATGAAATATTAATAATTCATCTTTTGAATTTTAAAATTACTATTAATTTTTTAAAAAATTAACGAGTACATAAATATTTTTATTAATTTAATAAATAATAACTTTATACACACGAAATAATTATTTTTGATATATGGACTCTGGACAAAGATTTTAAAAGTTAAATCTGTAGAAAGAATATTTTAATATTTAAAAGGCAAAATTGAAAAACAAAATAAAGGAAATGTAAGAAATATCATATTAGATAAATAAAAAAACAAAAAAAGAAAATTTTAATTTAAGAAACTTGAATTGGAGGGAATTTTGAAATGTAACAAATCGAGCGCACAGAAATTATTGAGTCAATTCAATTCCATTATCGGTCATCAATATCAGATTAGAAATCATAAATTCCTTACAATTATTGAGACCCGATTCTTCATTATCAAAGCCGACGATGTCATTGAATTCTTTAATGAAGCTTTAAGAAATCTCGTGAATCGCAGACCAATCCAACACGCCATTAATATTCTCACTCTCTGCAATTCGAGAAGCCTTTCAGTTTCTTCTCTGTCACTTTGTAATCGAATTTAATATCCTCTCTGCCCCTTTACTGATTCGAAGTAATCACATTCTCTTATGAGTTCACTCTTTAAATCCCACGAAGTTTCAGATTCCTGCAATTCGACGGGGCGTCTCTTGCGCGTGGTTGATATTCTCCGGGAAGAAGACGGCGACGGCGACGGTTTTTTCGGCGATTTTGGAATGTCTGATGCTGGAGAGCGTCTGGCGGATGAGTCGGTGACCGTTCATTGTTTGTCACCACGACGGATTGTTGCTCGGTGGGTGGCTTCGTTCCGGCGACCGAAGCGGAGGAGAGCGGCGACGGAGGTTAATAGAGAGAAAGAAAGTGGAGATTCCGATGATCGGTTGGTGTGTAGTAGGTGCGCGAGGAATGGAGTTGACAGCGGCGCTTCGTCGTCTTCAGCGACGGAGATTGCAGGGCCTGGTGAGTGAGTATGATTGAAATGATCTGTGATTGCGATTTTAAGCGATTGAATGTTCTTTTTTATATCGAAACTATTTCGAATTTGGAATGCTACTGTATTTCATCGATGTTTAATTGGGTTGATTGAAACTATAATCAAAACGATTAGGATCTGAAGAAATGGTAATTGTGTAATGCCGAATCAGACAAATCTGTATGCGGACGTTGAAATTTAAGAAGTCCAACAATCTGGAATAGTTATAGAGTTCATAAGATCTCAAAAACTAAGATCAAGTGGCTGTATGTTCATCCATAAACACGAACATTCCTATATCCAATAGGTAAGATTTGTAAGAAAAGAACTAAGATCAATCGACTATAAATATCGAATTTCTTAAGAGTTTGAACTTTCTACATCTCTATTTCGTGGATGTTTTCTCCAATGTTTCAATCTTGACTGTGTTCTTAAAATTCACAGGACTGATTAGGAAAGACGATACCTCATTCAACTTGGGAGTTGGGTGTAGTTTGTTGTATCTTGTTCTTGCAAGTAAAAATGAGCTTTCGAAGATGGTAGATTTGCGGAGACAAATGGAACTTTTTCTTCAAGATATCAAAGAAGAGATGGGAAGAAAGAACAATCCCTTTGAGCCATTCCACTTGAATACAGATATGGCGTGTTCTTCTACTGATTGCCAAGACGGTCCTTGCTCGACCAGCCAGCGTTCTTATCAACAAGATTTTTCATCTCAAATTTTATCTGATGCACAATCAAATATACCAAATTATCACCAGAAGTCATGTCTGCACGAACAAGGGGAACGTCAGGAACGGATCGACGAACTGGAATCTGAGTTCGAGGCCGAGTTGGAACGCTTGCAGCTCCATTTGGAAGTTGAAAGTTCTTCTGGACGGATAGAGCAGCTAAAAATTCAGGTATATGGGAACGTACTAAAACTTCTAGATTACTTTTGCTTTTTAAGTTTGATTTGATGGAAATGAAACTGGTTGGTTTGGAAATGCTCGCTCTTATAGTTGTTGCAGTCTTCACATGATTGAGAATATCTTTACTGGTTTTCCAATGTCTTGGTTTGATCACATTACTTATGACAAGAAACATCTTAGATCTATGGGAGTTCATGATCACACGTCCTACATGAAAGTTCAAAAATTAATAGTGGGTGGTTTTCTAACCTCCAACATTCGTTCGTTCTTAATAGTTCAAGTTCACTACTAGTAGATATTGTTTTCTTTGGACTTTCTCTTTCGGGTTCTCTTTGGACTTTCTCTTATGGGTTTTCTCTCAAGGTTTTTAAAACGCGTCTGCTAGGGAGAGGTTTCTACACCCTTATAAAGGATGTTTCGTTTTCTTTCCTAACCGATGTGAGATCGCACAATCCACCCTCTTTCAGGACCCAGCGTCCTCGCTGACACTTGTTCCATTCTCCAATCAATGTAGGACCCCCCCAATCCACCCCCTTCGGGGCCCAGCGTCCTTGGTGGCACACCGCCACGTGTCCACCCCCTTTGGGGCTTAGCTTCCTTGTTGGCTGACACTTGTTCCATTCTCCAATCAATGTAGGACCCCCCCAATCCACCCCCTTCGGGGCCCAGCGTCCTTGGTGGCACACCGCCACGTGTCCACCCCCTTTGGGGCTTAGCTTCCTTGTTGGCTGACACTTGTTCCATTCTCCAATCAATGTAGGACCCCCCCAATCCACCCCCTTCGGGGCCCAGCGTCCTTGGTGGCACACCGCCACGTGTCCACCCCCTTTGGGGCTTAGCTTCCTTGTTGGCTGACACTTGTTCCATTCTCCAATCAATGTAGGACCCCCCCAATCCACCCCCTTCGGGGCCCAGCGTCCTTGGTGGCACACCGCCACGTGTCCACCCCCTTTGGGGCTTAGCTTCCTTGTTGGCACATTGCTCATTGTCTAACTCTAATACCTTTTGTAATAGCCCAAGTTTACCGCTAGTAGATATCGTCTTCTTTGGGTTTTTTCTTTCGAGCTTCTCCTCAAGGTTTTTAAAACACGTCTTTTAAGGAGAGGTTTCTGTTGGATGATGGAAGTCCCACATCGGCTAATTTAGGGAATGATCATGGGTTTATAAGTGAGGAATACTAACTCCATTGATATGAGGTCTTTTGGGGAAGCCCAAAGCAAATCCATGAGAGTTTATGCTCAAAGTAGACAATATCATACCATTGTGGAGAGTCGTGTTCGTCTAACCGTTTCCACACCTTTATAAATGATGTTTCGTTCTCCTCTCCAACCGATGTGGGATCTCACAATTTACTTTATTCCTAACCAGATATAAAGGGAGGAATATCTGTGTTCTGTTGTATATTATGTTCTTGATTGCAAGTTTTGACAAACTGGGTTATATGTAAAATGACAGACTGCAAAGAACACGGACTCTACTAGAAGTTGCTGTATTAGTTCTGGTGAAGTGATTGATCTCCAAGAAGATGGCACTAACAGGCAACATGGAGTTCCTCCTGTAGAACTCGAAAGAAAGTTGCACGAGCTGCTCAAAGCTAGACAGGAAGAACGAATAAAAGAACTTGAAGGCGCTTTAGAATGTGTCAAGCAGGAAGTTATTGAAAAAGAATCTGAGGTTTCTTGGTGGAAGGAAACTGCAAAAGTCATTTCTAAGCACATTCCAGCTCATTCACGACTTAAACTTGCTTCTCAACATGATCAGCTTCAGCAACTTCGGTAAGCATCCTTCTACACTTTACAATAGGCTTTAAGAAAGATTGTTACTAAAATGATAACTGATGCTTTAGATACAAGCCAATCAAGTCTTTGTGATATGCTTACTAGGGGAAATTTTCTAGTACTATGGGCTTCCTTTGTTTACTTTATGGTGAGGAGTGTTCGTACTCTCATAGTACCTGAAGTCAAAACATAGTTGTACGAGAAGGAGTGTTGTTCCAAATTTACGCTGGACTACATGAACTTTTTGGATAAATATCTTTGAGTATCGTTTTTGTGATCATGTGTCGGATACTCGTTTGCTTTCCTCGTGTCTTGGGTTTCTAAGAAATAGCATGTCAAAATCTTTGTGTCTGTGCTTCCTCATAAATGTCATTACACCACGTTTATTTGTCTAAGTATGTTACGCTATTTTGAGAAACCACGGTTGAGGACTATTGAGAGGTGTAGTCCTACATTGGCTACTTAAGAGGAAGATCATAGGTGTATACATATGGAACACTACTCTATTGTTACGAGGTCTTTTAGGAAACTAAAATTAAAGCCACGAGAGTTTATACTCAATTTGGACCATATATCATTCTTGAGATCCGTGATTCTTATTTACTCCTTTTAGATTACTAGCGGGATTCAAATCAAATCTACCATAGTCAAAAGGAAATCTGGAATAAGATCTATTGGATGATGTTTGAATTATGTTCGTTTAACCAAAAATGTCAGGTTCCAATAATGATGAAAAGGATGCAAAACATGCCGAAAGCAGCAGCTCTGTGGTTACTTTATTTTGAAGATGCGCACCAACGACGAACAGAGTTGAAGAACAGTCCCATTCAAACATCACATCATATTCCTTCTTATCTGAACTTGGTAGAGTGTCCCATTTCAAATTCTCTTGCTTATTATATTTTGACAAATCCTTCCCTAAGTCTGAATTATTTTGAATTTTTTTTTTGTCACGTTTGGATCAAAATTAGTCTAGGCTACTTATTAAAAAAAAATGTGGTAAGATATAATATTTGAAAAATATATTATAATAATTAGTTATGAAATATATTTTAGATATTATATCTTAATATTTTTTCATTTATGATTTGATTAGTAGTATATTTTATTTTATTTTTTATATTTAATTAGTTTATATTTTTCTGATCTATAGGTATAAATTGGTAGCTTGTATCCTATTTAAATATTATAAATAGACCCAATTCTATTTCTCATTCTTAATTTCAGTAGTCAAATTTAAATTTGATTTAATCCTTTTAAGAGTTTTATAGATAATTAGTGGGGTTAAAGAAATTTTAATATAATTGATATTTTATTTTTATTTATTTATTTATTTTTGTGGTTGTTATTTGGGATGAGCCACAAAAAAAATGTAATGAACACCTCCATGGCTCCACAATTCCACTTCAACATCATAAGCCTTTGAATTTTTAACAATTTAAAAACAAAAACATCATGATCCTTCTTTCTACTAATAATAATAATTATTATTTTTTAATTACAAATTTAACCTCTTTAATTTTAAGATTTTTTTAGTGTCTAATAAATTTGAGTTCTTTCTTGTTTTATATTTTTTTTATTTGTATATAGGAATTAGTGTATTTTAATATTTTATTGACTGAAAATTATTGTGACTTATAATTGATTTAATATCAATGATTTTAAACGATACTAGTTTTAAAATTTATTATAATTATATGAAATAAAGTTAGAACATTTGAAAATAACAAAATAGTACTTTAGAAATATTGAATGTAACATTTGTTTAAAATTGGAAACAAACGGATTGGTATGAAGTTACTTAAATAATAATCGCTAAATTAATAATTATATCTTTAAACTTTGCGTCTAAAAAATATACTTACGAGTATCTTTAAACTTAATAAAAATTCTTTAATGCCTTTCAATTTTTTTAAAAAATTAAAAAATATAATTTTCTTCCTATTTTATTTAAAAAAATATTCATAAAATCTTAATATTAACATTAACCTATCTCTATAAAAAAAATAGAAAAAGGTTTATACGGTAAAAAAATGTATATCCATGTCTTATAAATTATTTCAAATTTTTTTAATATTAGTATGAAATATTTATTGGTATTTTTGAAACATAATACTAACAATAAGATTATTTTTTAATTTTTTTTTAGAAAATTTAAGATTATTAATAAAATTTTAAAAAACGTAAATGTGTTTTCTTGAAAATTCAAAAATATTTTTGAAATAAAATATTAATCATTTTCATCACTGAGGACAATAATATTTTTTTAACATTTAAAGGTATTTTTTAAGGATATTTTTGGGATTTATTTGAAATCAAATTGAAACTTTTAAAAATTTAGAGATATTTGTTTAGATAAAAGTGCCAAATAGATGGATATTATTATTAATTTAATCTAATAATAATAATAATAATAAAAGGGTTAGAAAAATGTTATTACAAAAAAAGTGATAGGTTTTTGACACAGATCATCTAAATAAAATTATATCTAAAAATATTTTTCCAAACAATCTCGACCGTCAATAATACAATAAATAAAGCGACGGTGGAGATCGTTTATTCACCCGAATAAATGGAAAAGGAAAATATCAGTGGAAACCCTAATTGGCAAATACGTGTCCGGATAAAATAGACGATATAAATTGCTCTCGTCCTCTTGACTCGTATTCTCCTCCTTCCTCCCGCTTTCCTTCCGTTTCCACCGAAATCCCACTGTACAACACACAAGAAAAAGCTCGGAAGCTGTAGAAGTGCGAAATCTTCAGCCATGTCGGACGAGGAGCACCACTTTGAATCCAAGGCCGACGCCGGAGCCTCCAAAACCTACCCTCAACAGGCCGGAACCATCCGGAAGAACGGCTACATCGTCATCAAGAACCGTCCATGCAAGGTGATTTGTTGTTTTTGTGTAATGATTTGTTGTGTTTGTTGCGATGATTTGGTTTTCTCGTTGTTTCGATCGTCCGGTGTAATCTTTTGTGGTGTTTAGGGTTGGGTTTGGGTCGGGCGCTTTAGATCTTTGGTTGATTTGAAAATTTTATTTCGCTTGATAATTGATTGTTATAGATTCTGTGCGATTTATCGTATATTACATAGCGTAGATGGTGAGAATTGTCCCAAGTGTTGGATTTGGGAAAATGGAAAAATCTGAAATTACCATTATTGATCATATGGATCAATATTTGTCGAGAGATCCGAGGGTTGTAATTATGATTTCACAGAGTTTCTTGATGGTTTAGTTTTGTTCGTTCAACGAATAACAGTGATTTTTCTCCTCAACTCTGAGAGCACGCTGGTGTTTACACTGCAGTTGTTATTGAATCCCGGAGATTAATTTCCTCAGTGTCATATTTCCCATATTTGATGTTTCCTTGTCCTGAAGCGCGAGGGTGCGTTTGTGTTTATTGAGACTGTTATTGCTACCTGATAATAATTAGTGAAAAAGTCTATCCGAAGCTCCTAGAAGGCTAATTGAATAGTGCTTCCAAATTATACTTTTAGGCATTAAAGTAGAATTGCCTCTAGCCTTCCTTATTTGTAAGGCTACTTTCTATGCTACGTCTCTGTGTTTAAATCTCAGTATGTTGGTTTTTTTCCCTCTGGTTCGTTTGGTAATTCAGGTGGTTGAGGTTTCAACTTCTAAGACTGGCAAGCACGGGCATGCTAAGTGTCACTTCGTCGGAATTGACATCTTCACTGCCAAGAAGCTTGAAGATATCGTTCCATCATCCCACAATTGTGATGTAAGGAGTGTATTATATAGCTTGCGTTCATTCACCCGGTTTATATCCGTTCCACTAATGGTTCTTATTTCATGCTTTGTAGGTGCCTCATGTTAATCGTACTGATTATCAGCTGATTGATATCTCTGAGGATGGATTTGTGAGTAATTTGGTTACATGAGATTGTTTGATTTAAATTTGTCTTACCGACTTCAAGAAACTTAGTTATTTCTGATGTTAATTATATTTGTCTATATGTATATAGTTCAATGTGTTTTTATAATTAATTATAGAGGTGAATCTCCTTGGCTTGGTGTCTCTACTTCAATTCATAGATAAGCAACCGTAGATAGAAGCAATGAATCATTCATACATGCTGCAGCTTGTCGTGTAAAGCATTTTATCTCGATTCATGTTGTATTCTTTGCTGCAGGTGAGTCTTTTGACTGACAATGGTAACACCAAGGATGATTTGAGGCTCCCAACTGATGATAACCTGCTCTCTCAGGTAAAGTCACATATGAAACCTTACCATGGCTAGACGGATTCTCCGTTCAAAATTCAAGTTATTCGAGTAGATCTCATACCCTAATTTTGTATTATCATCTAGCTCATTTCCATTTTCTGTTAGAAGGTACCTGATTCCTTCTGTTCCCCGTATAATATAATATTCTCTGTCCTTGGGATATTTTTAAGATATGGTCATGTGGGTTTATTCTTAATATTATTCCATTTTTGTGTTGATATCTATTTTAATACATACGAACTGAATCCGTTGTTTGTATCCACAGATTAAGGATGGATTTGCTGAAGGAAAGGACCTTGTCGTGTCGGTGATGTCTGCCATGGGAGAGGAACAAATTTGTGCCTTGAAGGATATCGGCCCGAAGAACTAGCTTTGCTTCAAACAAAGTGAAGTTGTGGTCATCAACTGCTTTAGTAGCTGAATCATCCCTCGATTGATGAATCTTTGAACGATGATAAAATTAATGACTTTGTATCTGTTAACGCTTCAATCTTCACCTTCTTCTGGCCAAGGTTGTAAGATTGGTTCGTGCATCATTACTGTGTTTTATGTTGTGTTATTTTATGATATTGGGTGTAATGTTATTGGGTTTTTGGTTGCTTATTTTGATAATCGAAGTCAAATAATTTTTGCGAATGCAGCTAGCTCTATAATCAATCGGTAGAGACACAAGTTTACTTTGAAAACTGTAGTGGCGTTCAGTGGTTTGGGTCGGGTCGGGTCGGGTCCGGACATTTTTTTTTTAAGATTGTGAAATTTTTCATCCCAAAGGTTGGTTCATTCTTTTCAATTTTATTTTTATTTTGTTTTTCATAAACCTTAGTAAAATATCTATTTATTTATTTTGTTTTAATAAATGCAAAATGTCATTTAAAATGATTTTTATTTATTTTTAAATATATAACTAAATAAATAGTTAAGTTAAGAATAACTAAATAAATCAATAATATTTATGAAGTTAAATTGGGTTGATGAAGGAATTTCTTTCGGTTGAAAGTCCGTTTATACTTTTAAAATTAGGCTTTTGACCTTCAATAATGTCGGCTGTTGTTTTTGTTGTAGAAAAAAATATTTTCAAACTACAAAAGAAAAGAAAATATTATTTAATCGTTGAATTCATACCATTCTTTATTTGGTATGAGGAGTGTTTAGATAATGCGGTGACACGTGAAGGCCACTGACTTGCGGGTATTTCAAAGCTTTCCCCATTAAACCTAACTTCTTTATTCAGTTCACAAACTAATTATCTAATTATGATTAAAGACATCTAATTATTTCCATAATTTCAAATTTTAAGATAGAAGCTACATATTTATTATTCTTTTTTAAATTACAATATTAATTATTACCCTTTTCAGCTTATTAAGTTGAGAATTTGTTAAAATTTTAGAAATTTATTAGATAATTTCTAAATTAAAAACTATTAACCCAAGGTTTAAATTACTAAAAAAAGTAGTTGTAATTTATCTTTTTATTCATTCTCCCACCCGCCACCAAAACAGGCCAAGGCATTAAAGAACAAATAATAAGTAAAAGAAAAAGAAAAAGAAAATTCGTTCCCACTCAACCGTACACTTCTAAATTGGAATTCCGCGTGGGGCCTCGTCACTCGTCGCTCCAAAAAAAAAATTCCTCAACCAAACACTCTAGCCAATCACTCCGCGCCAAATCACCCCTTCGCCGGCAACGGCAGCCGGATCCGTCCACCGCCGCCATCCACTTCTCTTCTTCCTTAACTTTAAAGCCATTTCCCCTTTCGCTTCACCAATAATTCACTGTCTCAGAGCTTTTCACGTGTATTTCATTTAGGCTTCAGTGCACTTTCAGCCCTTCTCCACCGCAGCCACAAGTTTCCGAGCGCTGACATTTTTCGTAATCCTCTCGTATTTCAAAGCTCTGACTTGAACAACAAATTATTGTCATAGCTGAGTTGAATCGTGCAGAGGTCAGCCCTTTTATTTTGATCGATTTTAATTTTCATGCCGTCCTTTTCTCCTTTTTTCTATGTGATTGGTGAACGCACATCATTATGAGGTGTAGACTTTCCCTGTTTAGTTGTTGATTTTTCAATGATAATGTGAAATTTCAACTGCTTTTTTTTTGTTAGTATTTATAGTAATCGTTCACTTATTTATATTTATAACCTTGCATTTTCGTTCTTTGATTATTGAGGCTGACAATTTTGTCTTCACCATGCTGTTTCTTGGTCTGTTTGTTCTGATATTGGCTAAAGAAGCCATGGTGGATGTTAATTGTAACCCCGATTTGGCTTCGAATAAACTATCACTTGATGAAATTAGAGATTCTTTGATCAGACAAGAGGATACTATTGTTTTCTGTCTCATTGAGAGAGCCAAGTTTCCTCTTAATCCAAAGCTGTACCATCGTAATCATGGATTTACTGGTTCTTTGGTTGAGTTCATTGTGAGAGAAACCGAGGCCATTCAAGCTAAGGTAAATTAACGCTTGTTCCTTTGAGTTGCATACTTGCTTTAGCCTATGTTCATCTCTTTGCTTTGAAGCCTTTAACATACTTCTGAAAATGTTTAGATCCTTTGGCCGTTGGCTATTTGGATTTGGCTGACTTGGTTGGTCGTAGAAGTGCTGCATAAAGGCTTCGTGAGCCTCATTCAAACAATATTGGGAAAGTAAATTGAAATTTTGGCGTCTCAAATGGCGAAATTTGAGAAGATAAAGAACTTGTTGTGTATTTCTTTCTTCATTCTATGTTCTGTTTCTTGTATTTGTTAGATGGGAGGTAGGCCTCAGATCACACGTTGGTTGGAAAGGAGAACGAAACATTTCTTGTAAGGGTGTGAAAACCTCTCCCTAGCATGTGTTTTAAAATCGTTAGGCTGACTACGATACGTAACGGGTCAAAGCGGACAATATTTGCTAATGTTGGGCCTGAGTTATTACAAATGGTATCAAAGCTAGACACTGGGCGATGACTAGCGAGGATGTTAGCCTCCAAGGCGGATGAATTGTGAGATTCACATCCGATGGAGTAGGGAACGAAACATTCCTTATAAGAATGTGGAAACCTCTCCCTAGCAGACACGTTTTAAAATCGTGAGGCTGACAAGCCAAAGCCGACAATATTTGCTAACGGAGAGCTTGAGCTGTTACAAATGGTATCAAAGCTAGACACTGGGAGATGTGTCGGCAAGGACGCTGGCCTCCAAGGGGGTGGATTGTGAGATTCACATCCGATGGAGTGGGGAACGAAACATTCCTTATAAGGGTGTGGAAACCTCTCCCTAGCAGATGCGTTTTAAATTCATGAGGCTGATGATATTACATACGGGCCAAATCCGACAATATTTGCTAACAGTGAGCTTGAGCTGTCAGTGATATTAGAGTTAGACAGCCGGTGATGTGCCAACGAATATGCTGGCCCCCAAGGAAGGTGGATTGTGAGATCCCACATCGGTTAGAGAAGGGAACGAAACATTTCTTATAAGGGTGTAAAAACCTCTCCCTAACATACGTTTTAAAATCGTAAGACTGACAGCCATACGCAGCAGGTCAAAACGACAAATATGGATATAATTCCACAAGAAAGAGCAGTTCTAGTCTGGGATGTTTTTCTTTTTGGTTCTTTTGTTATTCTTGATCTTCTGGTTCAGTTTGAAATTTCTTTCTTCTATCTGTTTCGATTTTGATGAACAGGCCGGTAGATATGAGAATCCTGAAGAAAATGCATTCTTCCCAGAACATTTGCCTCGTCCTTTGGTGCACCCTCACAAGTATCCAAAGGTGAGAGATCGTTTAACAAGTTCTTAAGTTTTTGAACTTTGCCTCTTCTGTTTGTGACCTGAATACATTCATGTTTCCAGGTTTTGCATCCTTCAGGTGCTTCAATTAATATGAACAAACCCATATGGGATTTCTATTTCAATAAATTCTTACCATTGTTGGTTGCCGATGGCGACGATGGAAATTATGCAGCCACTGCTGCTAGTGATCTTGCCTGTTTGCAGGTAAAAACCCTTTGTAAACTAGCTATCACTTTTAAGTTCATAATGGCAATGCAACCATGTCGGATTTATTTCTTACACGTGCCACGATTCGACTGAATCTCAGGCACTTTCAAGGAGGATTCACTGTGGAAAATACGTAGCTGAGGTGAAGTTTAGGGACGCCCCCCATGAATACGAGCCTCCTATTCGCTCTCAGGTATGGTAAATTTAGTCGGGTTGTCATTTACTTTAGTTCTCGGTGAAATAAAATAGAAAAAGAAGTAAATTCCTTTCGAGTTTCACCTTCATCTTTCTGTGCACTCGTTTTAGGCGAGGCCTATTCCGTGGCCCATTCTTATTAGGTTACGGTAAGTTCATGAAAGACTACCTTAAGAATGAATGAACATGACCTTTCGTATTCTAGAATTGAAGCGTTTGAATAGTTATTTACATCTGAAACCAATTTAATTGACTGTTCTTTCAGGAAAGAGATAGTTTGATGAAGTTATTAACATTTGAGGCCGTGGAAGAGATGGTGAGGAAGAGAGTAGAGAAGAAGGCTAGGGTGTTTGGGCAAGAAGTCACCCTCAACAACACAATTGATGGGGGAAAGTATAAGATCGATCCATTGCTCGCGGCTCGCCTTTACGACGAATGGGTAATGCCTCTCACGAAGGAAGTCGAAGTCGAATACCTTCTACGTCGTCTTGAATGATTCTATCCAATGACCATAAATAAATAACAAGATCAACCAATATTTATGACCGTAATCTTATCATTTATATAATTTATTCAGATTCTATCTAATGACCTTATAGAAATAACAAGATCAACTAAGATTTTTTTGAAGATTTGTGACGGTAATCCTATCATATATATAATTTATTCTAAAAATTCTATAATCACTAGTTGAGTTATGTTTAGAACACAACCAACCGAGATTTTTTAAAGATTTATGACGGTAATCTTATCATTTATATAATTTATTTTCTGAAAAACTTTAATCACTAATTAAGTTAGGTTTTGATCGTCAAATTATTTTAAGATTGTGCATGCCTTTGATTTATATATTTTTTTTTTTTATTGTGAATCGACTTTGGCACAAATTAGTTAAAACCAAATCACTCATAGTTATATTTAAGTTGATTGTAAAATCTCAAATCCACCACTAGTCAATAGTGTTCGTTCTGGTCCGTATGTATTGTTGTCAGCCTCACAGTTTTAAAAAGTTTTAAAACTGAGAGAAGTTTCTATACCTTTATAAGAAATTCCCTCTCCAATCGAGGTGGGATCTCACAATTCACCCCCTTTGGACGCCCAACATACTCGCTAGCGCACCACCTAGTGTATAGCTCTGGTACAATTTTGTAAAAATCAAGCTTATTGCTAGTAGATATTATCCGCTCTTGCCCATTACATATCACAATCAACCTTGATTTAAAAACGCGTTTATTAAGGAAAGATTTTCGCACTCTTAGAATCCTCTCTCCAATCAATGTGAGATTTATTGATAATTGAACAATGAATTAAGAAAATTTAACTACTGCTAGCATTGATGCACAAATCCAAGTAAGTGAAATTCTTGATGATCAACACGTAATTCAACGACACATTGATGTGACATTTGACACACACTAAGATACTTAAAGAGAAATTAAAATGTAGTAAACTTTTAAGTTTAAGGTGTGAGGATTGAGTTATCAAGGACGTTTAAGTGAACTCCTTTTTCCAACGAGACTCATTTGCCCGCTCACGTGGACCGGACTTGGTTGAGGTAGGCTTTTAAGTCTCGTGGTCCAATAGTCTCTTTACTCGACCCCAATCTTGCCCCAAGTTCTACATATCCCTGTTTGGTATATAGTTATCCTTAATTTTTTTAATTTACTCTATTTCCAAAATCACCCCTAACATTAATTATATATTAAAATAAAATAATATTGATGTGAAACTCTTTAATTTATTTAATCATATAGTTGAAGTAATAGAAAATATTATAATCTTAACAAATACTCCCAAATTTAAACCCCTAAATTCACATAATGCGCGCGCAAAAAAGAAAAAATAATAATAATAAATAAATGGGAGGCCTAAATTTTTATTTTATTTTTAGGTCCTCCACATTTGTCGTAATTACGAGAAATCCCGGTTCCCAACCAAACTCAGGCTTGGTGAAAATTTACAGTTAGGACCCTCTTCGTTCTTCACATTTACCATTCATACATACTTCCAGTCTCCCAGCTTCATNAGTTAGGTTTTGATCGTCAAATTATTTTAAGATTGTGCATGCCTTTGATTTATATATTTTTTTTTTTTATTGTGAATCGACTTTGGCACAAATTAGTTAAAACCAAATCACTCATAGTTATATTTAAGTTGATTGTAAAATCTCAAATCCACCACTAGTCAATAGTGTTCGTTCTGGTCCGTATGTATTGTTGTCAGCCTCACAGTTTTAAAANAGTTAGGTTTTGATCGTCAAATTATTTTAAGATTGTGCATGCCTTTGATTTATATATTTTTTTTTTTATTGTGAATCGACTTTGGCACAAATTAGTTAAAACCAAATCACTCATAGTTATATTTAAGTTGATTGTAAAATCTCAAATCCACCACTAGTCAATAGTGTTCGTTCTGGTCCGTATTTATATTTAAGTTGATTGTAAAATCTCAAATCCACCACTAGTCAATAGTGTTCGTTCTGGTCCGTATGTATTGTTGTCAGCCTCACAGTTTTAAAAAGTTTTAAAACTGAGAGAAGTTTCTATACCTTTATAAGAAATTCCCTCTCCAATCGAGGTGGGATCTCACAATTCACCCCCTTTGGACGCCCAACATACTCGCTAGCGCACCACCTAGTGTATAGCTCTGGTACAATTTTGTAAAAATCAAGCTTATTGCTAGTAGATATTATCCGCTCTTGCCCATTACATATCACAATCAACCTTGATTTAAAAACGCGTTTATTAAGGAAAGATTTTCGCACTCTTAGAATCCTCTCTCCAATCAATGTGAGATTTATTGATAATTGAACAATGAATTAAGAAAATTTAACTACTGCTAGCATTGATGCACAAATCCAAGTAAGTGAAATTCTTGATGATCAACACGTAATTCAACGACACATTGATGTGACATTTGACACACACTAAGATACTTAAAGAGAAATTAAAATGTAGTAAACTTTTAAGTTTAAGGTGTGAGGATTGAGTTATCAAGGACGTTTAAGTGAACTCCTTTTTCCAACGAGACTCATTTGCCCGCTCACGTGGACCGGACTTGGTTGAGGTAGGCTTTTAAGTCTCGTGGTCCAATAGTCTCTTTACTCGACCCCAATCTTGCCCCAAGTTCTACATATCCCTGTTTGGTATATAGTTATCCTTAATTTTTTTAATTTACTCTATTTCCAAAATCACCCCTAACATTAATTATATATTAAAATAAAATAATATTGATGTGAAACTCTTTAATTTATTTAATCATATAGTTGAAGTAATAGAAAATATTATAATCTTAACAAATACTCCCAAATTTAAACCCCTAAATTCACATAATGCGCGCGCAAAAAAGAAAAAATAATAATAATAAATAAATGGGAGGCCTAAATTTTTATTTTATTTTTAGGTCCTCCACATTTGTCGTAATTACGAGAAATCCCGGTTCCCAACCAAACTCAGGCTTGGTGAAAATTTACAGTTAGGACCCTCTTCGTTCTTCACATTTACCATTCATACATACTTCCAGTCTCCCAGCTTCATTTCCCTCGCAGTGTTCTCGAAAGGATGCATGAGTCTTTTTTGTATCCCCTCGCCGTACTGTCATAATTCAAAGGTCTCTCTCTCTCTTTCATTCCTCAGCTTTCTTCGTGAATGCCAAATTCTCAGGACGATTGACGCTAATTTAGTCCGTTTCTCTCGCAGTTTCTTGCTTCGACAGCATAGAGAGATCGTCTTCTCTCGGAAACTGGCGTTTGACTTGAGCGAGGACCGACGACATTGCGTGGATGCTCCATTTTGATCTTGCTTGGAACGTATAAAGCTTGTGGAGTCGTCGGAGGAAGTGGCTTAGGGTTTAATCTCGAAGGTACTTGAATCTCTAACCTGTGTGATCGCGTGGTGGTCAGTTTGATTAGTTACGAGAGTATCGGCTTTTTGCTGTTTTCGTTTAGGTATGGTGAAGTGTTGAGTGTGTGTTTTGAGCATCGTAGTGTGAGGATTTTAGTTATTTTTTAATTTTTTTCATTTGCGGAGTTCAGTGAGTGTAGCGTGTATGTGGACCGGTAGTGGTTAGCAGTTTCGCTTTTACTTTGGGTTTTACCTTGTGAGAAATGAAAAATGATCATTCTATGGATTTGGAAATGGAGCGGAAAGATAGGCTAGTTAAAATCCCCGAATCTTCTTCTGCTATTACTTAATGCAGAGCAGGAGTTGCTGAGAATGCTTCTCCAAATCATATGCGTACTTTTCAATGCTTATTTCACAGGGCCGTACATATGTAAAACATGTCGATTAACCTTTATCCACGAACAACATTGTAAATTCGCTGATTGTTTGATAGACGTTTCTGTTCAGTCTGCCTGTTTTATCTAGAAAATTCATCAGGTTTGTGATATTATTTGTTTGAGAGATTTTAGTGTTTCTCTGCTTCTTAAGTTTGTCTGTATTTGTTATAGATCTTCAATTTAATGGGGACATCAGGCGCAAAGGACGATATAGAGATGAATAGCGAGCCGGAAGACTTATCACCTGGAACTGATATGGATACAGACGATGATGATTATTCTGAGCCAGTCAACATTCATGATCTAGGTGAAGTATTTTTAAAGGATTTCTGTAAGAAGTCATCAATGGCATTTTTTGATGAGTACGGCCTTATCAGTCACCAACTTAACTCGTACAATGACTTCATAAAAAGTGGCATTCAGAAGTCCTTTGATTACTTTGGTGAGATCGTAGTTCAGCCAGGATATGACCCCTCAAAGAAAGGAGATGGAGAATGGAGATATGCTTCAGTGAAGTTTGGCAAGGTAACTCTTGATAAGCCAAAGTTCTGGGGTGGTGCAGCAAGTGGAAAAGAGTATAACTTGCTTCCTAGGCACGCTCGACTACAGAACATGACTTATTCCTCAAGGATGAAAATGAATATTAATGTAGAGGTGATTGAAATTTCTGTTTAGTTTTTACTGTTTTCTTGCCTTTTTCTTACCTTTCGTGACTAATAAATTGCTAAGATTCTTTTATGACCTGTGGACCCTCAGTTTGTTGAATAAATGCCTAATGAGGTGTTGGATACTTGCAATGTAATAGGTGTATACTCAAAGGTTAGTCAGAAGTGATAAATTCAAAACTGGACAAGATCAATATGTCGACAAGGATCTCTTAAGTCAAGATAACAGGGATATATTTATAGGCAGGCTACCTGTGATGGTGAATTCTGACCTTTGCTGGATGAAGGATGATCAGAAACGTGACTGCGAATTTGATCATGGAGGTTATTTTTTAATCAAAGGTGCAGAAAAAGTGAGTGCATTTCCTTCCATTTATGTCCTTCGTAGTTATATAATCTGTAAATAAAATGCACCGTTTTCTTAAATTTTGCTGTCACAAAATAATCATTTCAAAACTTCTAATTGATTGTTTGTTTGAAGAGATTAGTGTTACTTGACAAGTTGACGTAATTATGACTCCAGGACTTCTCATAATCTAATCTTATTTACACCACACTGGCTTGCATATTTTGAAAATCAGAATATGGTATGTCTAAAAAATTAGTTGAACTGGAAGTGGGAGCTATTAGACTTAATTATTTTATCAATGTTCAGGCATGTGATCCTGCCTCCTGATGGATCAAATTTAGTCAAGAAACTTTAGTTCTATATAATTTTAATTCAGTACTAACTGTTTTTGTAAAAAAATGATTAATTATACCATCTAACTTTTGTTTGGATATTTATTTCCTATATTGCATG